ATTTATATTTATTTTTTTTCGGTTTATTCTCACCAAAATTAATAAAAATTTATCATTGAATAAAAAAAAATTATCAATTTTTAATTAATCAAATTTCGATAAGCCTTTAACAGTTTTGATTTCAGTTTAGGATATATAATGACTAGTTCGATTTTCGATTTCTGACTCTTTCCGCTGCCCCCTTCATCGCCGGAGTTTCTGAACGATGCCGTACGGGTTTTCCAGCCGGCCAACAGAGAAGACAACGACTACGGCTGGTGCTTAAAAAGCTGTTAGTTCTTCGCTGTCGGTATCTCGTTGAAGCTGAGAAGCAGAGAAATGAGAATCCATGGGGGGAGAAGGGACCGCATCAAGGTTGTCAACCCGCGGGTTGACCCGGACCCGGTCGAGCTAGTGGGTCAAGGGTTAAAGGGTCAACCGTTTTAGCCCGGTTTGGCCCGGAAATATAGAAAGAGTCATTATATTGTACTTATCCTCATAAATTATATCAAATCTTATCTAACATATGAGTTATAACATATAATATTACACCAAAATAACATATCGTACTTAGATCCAACATATAGTGAAAATTCACACACACTTATATAACATAAATATTCAAATGTTCAACTTAGTATTCCAAAGATTGAGTTAGGCGAAAAGTAAAATTGGAAAATAGGCGCATTTCGCAAACTATAGAAAAAAGTGACACAATTTGACCTCCAACCCGGTACCTTATAGCGGTCGGCCCGATAGGTGCGTGCAGCCCGTTTTTCTCACCGGGTCAGGGTCAAATTGGGTCGACCCGTGGGTCAACCCGCGGGTTGGCAACCTTGGACCGCATAGATTCTAGAATCTGGCGTTGGTGGACACATGGGCTTCAATTTGAGAAAGGCCCAAAAGCTTCTTCTCTATTCAATGGAAGGCCCAAAGGACGGGAAATCCGGCCGCGTTTCGCGAGGGAGGAAGGCCCACGGCCGGCTTGTGGCCAGCGAATTGAGTGATGGAAATTGGAAACTGTATAAATTGTGGAAAGGTCAATTTTCTTCTGGGAAGTGTAATTTGGGAGAAAAGCTACTGGTTTGGGCTCTTATTTTCTTCTCCAAGTTGATGCAATTTGCCAGCAGGGGAGACGACCATTTCCCACATCTCGTTTCGCCCTAATTAGACAGACTGTCCATTGTTAATTATGAACTAAATTATTACATTTTAGCTAATATATCATATAGAGGTATAATAGGTCTGTTCATAGCGTGGCAATTAAGTCATTGGAGCGATTGTTTAGAATTTTTTCCGATTATTGTGATTTACTTATTTGAATTCCCTATTTCTGGCCTTACTGAGTCTTGTATATTGTCGTATCCATGTTGCTTTCGTTCGGGAATATCTATGATAATATATACTTGCTAAACAGTGCGTCTAATCAAATTGACACATAATCTAACTAATCCGTAACATAATTTTACACAACTCCTCTGATTCGATTAATCACAAAATCTTTGATTGGAATGTTCCAATCGTACAAGTTATGCATGATCGGCTTACAAGTTAGTTGGTTTACATAATAATTTAGTGAGGTTAGGAGTTAGCTAACATACTGGTCAAGAATGTTTTAGGTTGAATGAGTTATGATACGTTATTATCACCTTTCATACCCTGAATTATTGATAATACTATTTTTTTTTTATAATGTTGACATCGATTAAGATGGAATACAAGGAAATTAAAACAAAAGGGAAAAAAACCAGCAGACCAAAACCTTAGAGGCCAAAACAAAACGAAACAGCTTGTACCACAGCAGGACAGATTGCCAGGACAGTAAAGAAAAACGAGGGGAAACGAAATTGAAGAATCCCAACACAGCCTGAGTAGATTAGGGAACGGCAGCCCCTGTCAACCTTGAGCTCAAAACACCATCGACGGTTCTGCTCTTTAAAGTGCGAAGCCATTCCTCGGCAGCCTCTTTATCAACCTTCCCAGCAACCGATAACCACTGCGCAATGAGACTACCAATCCTGAAAGCAATTCCATATTCAGTGTTGGCCACCCCGTCAAAAATCCTGCGATTTCTTTCCTTCCACAGACACCAACACAAAGCATGGAGGAGAGTCAAGGTCCACCACTCTTTGGGATTAGCGGGCTTTCTACGAGGCCAGTTGTTGATGACATGAGTTATGCTTCCCGTACCTCTGGCGGAATGAACGAAAGCTCCAATGATAGTCCACACTCTAACGACGAAACTGCAATGGAGAAACAGATGATGCACGTCTTCTTCGCACGCTGCGCACATGACACACCTGCTGGGGAAACTCCATCCTCTTTTCTTCAGGGTATCATGGGTGAGTATCTTTCGTTGATGAACGATCCACAGGAAGGTGCAGACCTTGGACGGAATCCACGCTTGCCAGATGAACTTGTGCGGGTAATTATCTGGTTGCTCATACTTCTCCTTCACGAGACAGCTATACAAGGAGTGCACGCTGAATTTGTCGGCCGCCTGCCAAATCACTGAGTCTGAACCTGCGGAGAAAACAGATGAAGGCAAAGTATTAAGAGTATCAAAAAATCTCTCCCTTTCCCTCTCAGCCCCACCTCTAAAAGAGGTTGTAAAAGGTATAACCCAATGAACACTCTCATTAGAAACTCGGACCAGGTCGCGAATCGAAGCAAGGGGGGAAACAGCGGCAGCTGCCATACGCGGAAACTCCTCAGCAAGTGAACGATCCCCCCTCCAGTAGTCCAGCCAGAATGAAGTGTCCTCGCCCGTACCCGGTTTGACCTGTGCAAATCTCCAAAATACTGCCTTTTCCTTAATAATTTGGCTCCAAACACTACAGCCAACAGCACCCGAAATCCCACCACTGATCCACTTTGTTCCATTGTCCGAAAACTTCTCCTTGATCAGGATCTTCCACCAACTATCCTGTTCTTGAGTAAATCTCTATAACCATTTACAGATCCGCGCCTTATTCTGCAAATTAAGATCCATGATTCCCAGACCGCCCCACTTTTTAGGCGCCTTGCACCTATCCCAAGCAACAAGATGCAATTTCCGTTGATCACAGTTCCCCTCCCAAATAAACTCTCGCTGCATCTTTTCAATCGCCTGTATCACCTTCTTTGGAGCTGAGAAAAGCGAGCAACGGAAAATGGGTTGGCTCGACAAGACAGAATTGCAAAGGACTATTCTCCCGCCGAGAGACAGGAACCTCGCTTTCCACCCTTCCAGCTTCACTTGTAATTTTGATATCACATGATTCCAAGTTCTAGCAGCCGTCGGGGAATCTCCAAGTGGTAAACCAAGATATATAGTTGGGAGGTAGGCCCATTGACAACCGAGAATCTGAGCAAGCCTCTCGATGTTCTCGACGTCCCCAACCGGATAAAGAAAGCTTTTGGCCACATTCACCTTAAGACCAGTGACGCTTTGGAAGCAAATTAATGCTGCAAGGATACTCCTTACTTCCTCTTCCGAAGCGTCGCAAAAAATAATGGCATCATCTGCATAAAGTAAGTGCGTGACCTCCCCTCTCCTAGTTTCTTCGTTCATGCAAAAACCCTTGATAAAACCAGCACTACTGATCTCATGAATCATCAGGGGCAAGACATCCATAATCAAGTTGAAGAAAAAAGGCGACAATGGATCGCCCAGCTTCAGGCCCTTCTCCGGTTTGATGAAACCGGCAGCCTCCCCGTTAACGAGAACAGACAATCTAGAGGCAGAAACCAACCCCCGAACCCATCTTTGGACCTTGGAGTTGAAACCAACCGACTCAAATATCCTGAAAAGACATTCCCAATTCACTGTATCAAATGCTTTCTCAATGTCCAGTTTCAGTACTAATCCTGCTTTCCCACTCCTTCGTCTGCTATCCACCAGTTCGTTAGCAATGAGGCGGACTTCATGAAGCTGTCTCCCTCTAACACCCACAAACTGATGATGATAAATGATTTTGTTCATCAACGGTCGAAATCGAGCAACTAATACCTTGGAAATAATCTTGTTAATGCTTCCAACGAGACTGATTGGCCTAAAATCATTGGCATCCTCAACCGCCTCCTTCTTCGGAATTAGGCAGATGAAAGAGTGTGCTACAGAATGGGGAACCAAACCTGTGATATAAAAGTCATCAAAAGCTTTAAGGAGATCTCCTTTGATGACATTCCAACACTTCTTGTAGAAAGCTAGCGTAAAACCATCAGGCCCCGGAGCTTGGTCTCCATCGCACGATGAAATTGCGTTCCAGATCTCAATCTCAGTGAAAGGACGTGAGACATTGTAGTTATCCTCAATCCCGATCAGCCCAGCCCCATAATTCTGAGGGAAAGGTCTCAACGTGTTCTCCTCGTTAAATCTCTCTTGAAAATATGTTATGTAAGCCTCCTGCAATTCTGACTTTCCCTCTGTGGGTCTTCCATTCACCAAGATGTTTTCGATTGTATTCCTCCGCTTGTTACACTTCGCCGCAATATGAAAAAAGAAGTGTTCTTATCGCCTGTTTTAAGCCAAGTTTCACGCAATTTTTGTCTCCAGACCAATTCCTCCATGATGAGTGTTTTCTCCAGCTCACATGTGAACGCATTTGAAAACACATGGTTGGCTACACTAACATAAATATCCTTGTGAACATATATTCAGAAAACAGTGATTTTGTTAATGACCGTTTTTTACGCTTGATCTAAGCTCCATTTTTATCCAATAAGAAACGTGTTCAAGGGCTTGCCCCATATTATCCATAATCCACTTGTGCTGTACTTTTGGGCAAAATGACATCATCAGCACCATCATCATCATCATCACCTCCCCTGAATCAGAATCCTTCAAGCCTTCATTTTGACCTTTGAAAATATTGACTTTCCCCTCTTTTCCACCGATTTGACTTTCCCCCATTTCTTCAACCTATATAAACCCGTCAAACTTCTCTCCCCAAATCACTTCCCCTGTTTTTCACCAAAGTCTCCCCTGTTCACACACCCACCAAACACACAAAAGATTCAAACTTTTCCCCGGCAAAACCATGAGCAGCGACGGCGGCGACGAGGAGAGGAAGTACAAAGGAGTCCGGCGCCGGAAATGGGGGAAATGGGTGTCGGAGATTCGGGTCCCGGGTTCCCAGGAACGGCTCTGGCTCGGGTCGTACTCTTCCCCTGAAGCTGCAGCGGTGGCTCACGACATTGCCTCCTACTGCCTCCGAGGGGGTTCGTCTCAAAAGGGGTTCAATTTCCCGGTGAATTCGCTGCCGGCGAGCGTCCGGCCGGACATGTCGCCGAGGTCCGTGCAGAGGGCGGCGTCCGATGCCGGGATGGCCGTGGATGCGCAGATGATACTGCGGAATTCGTCCTCGCCGCCGCCGGCCCCGGAGATGTCGTCGGGGACATCCTGGGGCGGGGGTGGTGGTGGTGGGAGGTGGGATGGGGACGGCGCCGGAAGTTCGGCCGGAGGGGATTTGCTGAACGTATCGGTAGAAGATTATTTCTGAGAAATGTACGTAGTTGTGTTCCTCCATAGAAATTGGGAGGCGCCAAGGAGAAAGGAAGTGAAATTATACATGAATTGTTCGTGTATTTTGCGGCAATTTGCCAAATAATATTCTTCGGCTGAGAAAATCTTTTCCGGCGATTTGGCTGATGTTTCGGTTCCCAACTTGCAGTCTCAAAGTAAAGAGTCGAACCAAATCAACCATTATCCTTTCCATTTTGTTCGGTTCCTATCTCAATTCGATTCGACTATGATTGGAATAAACCGATGTCACCGTAGTTGTAATACTAGATACTTGATACTCCTATGCTTGGATCCCTTTAGCGGGGTAACTTGTAAAATAACATGAACGAGCGGAAAACAATAACACGAATACACAAGGTATATGTGGTTTCTCCTATAATGAGAACTAATCCACGGAAGACGTAGAAGTTTCTGACTGAAATCTTATTAGAGGCTTGGTCTTGTAGGATCTTACATCCTTTGTCTGCCATACATGGAGTTATATACATAGGTTGCAGGTGTTAGGGTTTTCGAATAATATGTATATACTACAAATCAATCATCAATTTAAATAATGTTACATTAGGCATTAACACTCCCCCTCACGTCAAGGAGTGAATATTGTAAAGTCCGAGTTTGGAGGTCCGACTAGGGTTGTCAATGGGTAGGCCTATTGGATCTTTTGACCCAAATACCTTGACCCATATGGGCATTGGGTTTGGACCCAAATGAATCCAAATTTCCTTTTACTTTTTTGGGTTGGGTTGGGTTTAAATTGGGTCCAGAATGAGCCTGTATATTTTGGCCGACCCAAATGGGTCCATTTGGGTATAAGTTAGATTTTGGGCTCTCCACCACGTTTTTAACACCCCTGAAGACAAGATCATTTGGGACGTCGGCCACCAGACTTACCCGCACAAGATCCTCACTGGAAGAAGGTCGAGGATGCAATCGATTCGCCAGACGTTTGGGCTCGCCGGATTCCCGAAGAGGGACGAGAGCGAGCACGACGCCTTCGGCGTCGGACACAGCTCCACCAGCATCTCGGCCGCACTGGGCATGGCGGTGGGAAGAGATCTGTTGGGGAAGGACAACCATGTGATTGCAGTGATTGGAGATGGAGCTATGACTGCAGGGCAAGCTTATGAAGCGATGAACAATGCTGGGTACTTGGATTCCAATTTGATCATCATCTTGAACGACAACAAGCAGGTTTTTCTGCCGAAAATCAAAGATGAGACAAGTAAACCAAACCCAGATGAACGAAATGTTAGAGCGCGAGATACAGGGAAAAAGAAGAACCGAGCAAACAGAGAGGGGGCAAGATCTAGAAGAGAAGAAGATGGGGCAAACCTGGAGATCGAGACCAGCACGAGAAGAGCGAGAGGTGGGTTTCTTCTACTCTTTGTCCTTGTCCTTAGATAATTGACACCAGCTAGATTCTAAACGGACCGGACAATTCCACAGCCTCGGGGTCCGATGGTGGGGAAAAGGAGAAGCTGCCGGTGTCGGGGCCGATGGTCGCTGATCGAGAATCGGGATTGCAGGCCGGCGGCGTCTTCGGGGCTGATGGTCACTGATCGAGAATCGGATGCAGGCGGGCGGCGGCGGGATACGATGGTGGAGAAGCAATCGCTCTCGTTAAGGGTATTAGGTCGAAGGATGAAGAGACCCGTTTGGGTTCTGTAGAGATTTTTTTTGTTTTTTTTAATTAATTTTCTGGGCCTATCTTGGACCCAATTTAATTGGATGGATATGGGTCTGCTCCAACACAGAAAAACCCAAAACCTGATTTGACCCAAATTCAATTGGGTTTGGGTAAAACTCATACCCTAAGACCCATTTGACATGCCTAAGTGATCCGACCCCAAGATCCAGTTTGAATATCGAGAAGTCCCGGTTAGGAAAACTAGTCAACCCCAAGACCTTTCGTGAAAACGTCGGCAACTTGATCCATAGTTGCTATCTTTCGTGGCGTAATCTACTCAGAAGCAACACGCTCCCGTACAAAATAGCAGTCCATCTCAACACAACTCAAATGGAAAAGAAGTCACTTGTAACATTTACGTGATAATTGTAGAGGAATAGCTTATCCTAACAATTTGAAATGTTGGGAGAATATCAACAATGAATTTTATATTGTTTCTTTAAGTGTTCGTCAAACGAAAAATCAACTTATGAGTTTGAAGATTATATATGTCATTAATACCATATGTTTTTATCAACTGTTAATACAAAACATCATAATAAAAGTACACTTTGATGTTATATCGAGAGCCAACTTATCAAAATAACTCGAGATATGTTTCATAGAGTCATTTGAGCTGCAGTTCAGTAGTAGTAGTAGACAACTGGATATGATCGGTCCCATTGCCAACTTCTTTTCCACGGGTATGCCGTATGTGTTAACTAACGACGATGACCAATTCCAGTCGGTGATCCTAATCTCACCGTTCTCCTTTTCCAACAGTAAAATTCTCGTCGGTGAATTTAATACGGCTAATAGTTCTAGTTCTAGTACTCCAAAGTCCAAAAGTGATTTTAACAAGAAATTTAAATTTACTGGACGCCGAGAGGGATAAGGTGGTGAAATTTTCTCCATGCCAGTTGAGTTATACTGACCCCAATTATTCTTAATAACTCGAATTATTAACGTATGCCTAGTTATATGGTATATTATACCATTTACCAGCTGATAAGATTTTCGCCACCGGATCAGGTGTCGACATTAGGGGTGGCTATACGGTCCGGTCCGGTTAAATTGGCCCAAATTGATCCGGTCCAGTCCGGTTTTTTTGAAAATATAAGGACCGAAGATTGGATTGGATACAGTCCGGTCTTGACCCGGTCCGGTCCCAATTCGATCTTGATTTTATATTGAGATTGTGGGAATTTGAGTGGCCTAAGGCCTAAAAGGGTGAGGAGTTGGTTAAGTTTTGTACTAAGTGCAAAGGTTTGTGACCGTTTATGCAAATTACCCTTAAGTTTTGGGTGTTGAGCTCTCTTATCCGGTCTTTATCCAGTTTTTTACCTCAAATCTAAGCCCAAAGATTGGATTGGATTGTTTACTATCCGGTCCCGGTCCGGTCCCGGTCCGGGTTATACGGTCCGGTTTCCGGTTTTTCATCCGGTCTCGGTCCAAATAGCCAGCCCTAGTCGCCATAATTTTTAGCGACGGTTTTCTTGCTTTGAAAAGTGAGAGGTAGCTAGGGATAGCAATTTCGACCTGACTTGATTTACCCGATCTATTTTGGGACGAGTCCGACTTGTCTCGTAGGAGGGGCGGGGCGGACATGGGTACTCTCATCGACCAACCTGCCCTGACCAGCCCCATTCTCGACCCGTTCTTGCCTAAATTACATGTAATCTTAGTCAAACTACTTAGTATTTTCCTTTTATTACACCATATTTTAGCTATAATAAAGTTGTAAATTAGTGAAAACCTCAATTTCTCAAATAATTTAACTAAATTTATCATACTATGATTTGTTTTTGTTTTTTTGTCTTATAATGAAAATAATAAATATTTCTACTATTTTCCATATAAATTGCTTACTCATTGGGTCGACCTGTCCCAACCTATAATCTATGATAAATTATTCGACCTGAACCCGACCTGTCACGAAACGGATATGAATATCAAGATAGCTGCTCCTAACATAGCCCACCATTCCTAGTGAGAGGTGAATGGACATGGACCAAGTCCGAGTCCATTTCTTTGGCTTGACAATTTTGAGGCCACGTCGCGCCCATGCAGCGGCCATCTCGTCTTTTGATTCATCGTTCATGTGCAGAAATCACCCTGTCGGCCGGCTGGATTCTTAATTTCAACCAACTGATGGTGGTGGCCCCAATGACTCTTTCTCTACTAAAATTTCATATTTCCATAGTATTGTTCATCGTAAACCACTAGAAAAATTCGTTTAGATTAAGAAAAGAACTATCTCAAAACGTAGTTGACTTGTTTCAGCCATATTGTAGATGACTACTTAAAAAAAAAAAGATATGGTACATAATAAGTAGTTATTGCTTCCTTTCACTTTAGGATGCATAAGCGGTAACTTATAAGTTACCGCATAGTCAAAATTTAGAGCGCATAGAAGCTAAATACCAAAAATCTAGTAATTAATTTTAGAGGAGTTAAATTTTCACTTTCTGATATGATTAGAAACCAAACACTGAACGGGACAGGTTACGGTGATTACTACATATGTAGTAATTACCGTGGTTACTAAGGGTAAATTGGGTATGAAAAATAAATTGTATTAATTAATTTTTTTAATAAATTACATTTTAGGTAGTTACAAGAATCTATTAATTATAATTCTCTCTATTTCTCTCACTTCCATAATCGTCAGCCAGATCCCGTTTCCTTATTTTTCTCAATCTTTCTGCAAAAGAAAAAAAAACACGAAATCACTACCAATCCATTAGACAATCACTATCACTTTGAAAAATATCAATACCATTGCAGAAATAAATCTATACCATTACACGAAAACTACCAATATAAACAATCTACCAATATAAATCTATACCATTTCACAAAAAATCAATACCATTGCAAATTGAATCCATACCAATACATGCAAATTACTACCATTACATGATAATCAATACTAATGCGACAAAAACAATACCAATGCAAAAAAACACTACCACTACGAAAAAATTACTACCAATGCGAAAAAATCAGATCTAGGGTTTTTATTAATCCCACCTTTTCCAACGAATCTGTCGATGAAGATAGAGCTTTATGTTGTTGGCCTTCTTGCGGGTGTCAAAGAGGTCGAATGGGGCACGCTTGGGGACAAAGAGGATGGCTTTGAACTCAAGCTGGCCCTCAACAGAGAAGTGCTTCACGGCAAGATGGTGGTTTCTGCTTGTTGATGAGCTCCCACTCATGAGAGACCTTCTTGATTTTCTTCTTCTTCTAGGTTAGGGAGGGACGCCAGTTGTGGGGTGATCGGAGGGAGGGAGGGAGGGAGGGAGGGACGT